GGGGGGGGGGGGGGAGTCCTCATACCAAACCAGGTTATACAGAAATAATTTGTGTTCCTTTTTGGATATTAACCAATCAGAGGCTAGAATACAAACAAAATTAAATTATTAAGAAAATGATACGTTACCCAAACAACAAATATAGCAGAAATGTATTGGTATTTGTAAATTGTAAATTGGTATTTAATTTGTTACTGTAAGATTCAAAAAGAAAAAATAATAATTTTTGCAACTTACGATTTCATATAATTTCAAAGACCATCCCGATATGATTAACAAAGATGACATACACTGTATGTAGATATTAATAATAAATAAGACAAATGTTCTTCTAGATAATTTCAATAATGTCTGCCAATTTACTTGTGGAAATTTTGTAAATTTCTGTAATGACGTCATAAAATATTTGCATAGACTGCACAGCTCCTGGGCGTCGGAAGCAAATTTAAAGTGCTTGGGGGGGGGGGGGGGGGCTAAATCAACAAAAAACCTTTGGGAAAGGGGGTTTATTTTCAATGCCTATATTATGTCTATCCTTGCAAAAAAAAAAAAAAAAAAAAAAAAAGGTAGGGGCTATCCCCACCCCCCCCCCCCTCCCGTTCCGACACCTATGCAGATTTATATAGAAAATGGTACAAAGTCGCTTATTTGAACGGCGTTAAAGAAATCCTACGATTTTATATATATATTTTAGGAATCTATTATATATGTTATTTCTATTCAAAATCAGTCAAAAAATATGTATCTTTTTTTTTTGTTTGTGTTATGTATCCTTCACGATAGATATATTTTATTCAACACATAAAATATTCTTACCTCTGACTAGAAAAATTTCCAGACGCATCCAATACACTATAACATTAGGCTGTAAAATGCATTCCTCATTGCCATAAATGTCAAATAACTTTCAGAAAAGTTTCCCCAAAGGGCTAGAATCTGATTTCATTTCAAATTGATAGTATGATCTATCTTTTTCCACAAACAACGACTTCATTATATCAGTTTTTCTGTGGGATTTCTTTTCGTGGGCTATGTAATCGCATATAAATAAACTATCTAAAAATCTCACTGACTAGTCTTTAGAAAGAAATTAAAATAAGGACTGTGGAATTAAATCGTTACTTTCGCTGTCAACCCCTAAATGATCGAAAAAACAAGGTCCTTTAAAAGTCTGAGTTTTTAACGACAGTTGAAATAGAATTTTAAATGCTAAGTAAATTGACAGAGAACCCCTGTTCTGAATAGAACAGAAAATCGAACACTAGAAATCCTGAAGCTATTGGCTACTGTGATTGTCAATATTTTGTCATCGACAAAACATTGATTTTCTATTAGGGTAAATTGGTTATATTGGGACTTCGACAGGTTTATTCTACATGTAATTTACATGTACAAATATGCACGTCCGTTTAGTACATATAATTTATTTATGTGCGTAATTATTTTTCTGCAGTCTTTAATTAAAGACATTTACTTTTCTTGTAATGCTTAAACTATTTTTATACAGGTTTTAAATGACCGTGCTGGCACATCGCAATGCTTAACTTTAACTTTCATGTATATAGGCAGGGTGCCTGATGTCCAGTCCAATTATGAAAGTGGCTTTACGTAATAAAATATTGATTAAATTATATAACGTTTAATTTTTGATTTTTTTTTTTACGTTTGTTACATGAATATTTTACTTAATGTTTTATAACAAAATAAATATTTTTTTTACTATTACAAAATTATTGTACAAGTGTTTGCAGTGTATAGGTAACCGTCAACTGGTGTTTAGTGACATATTTCCCAAAAGTGAAAACGGATAAAGCTGATCTTGAGTATTTAAACAGTCTGAAACAATCCCGACATATCGAGAAATGAGCAACAGCAAAATAGAATATATCCCCAAAGCGAGAAAAAGTGTAATTCTGTACGTGTTTTCACGGTAAATCTTGACGTCAACTGTTCAAGCTACATGTTACAACAATCCGGGAAGAGGTTCAATATTCTTGATTGATAAAGTTTACAAATATAACTGTCATTTTATTATTTCAGAGTTTAAAAGGAAGCTCTTTGTAAATATCAATGATAAGGGGAGGGGGTGTCCTTCGCCTTCGCAATAGCGAGGGGACATTAAATCTCATTTGTCTTACAGTCCGCCAGTCTGTCCGTCAGTCACAAAAACTTTAACCTGGGTCATAACTTTTGAATGAGAAAAGATAGAGCTTTCATATTTTACATGTACATTGCCTGTGACAAGACCTTTACAATTTTAATGTAATTTCTAACATCATAACCCCATGACCTTGACCTTGAAGTTTGACCTACTTTATCTTTAACATTGGTGATAACTTTTGAGTACGAGAAGATAGGATATTCATAGTTGATATGTGCACTACCTGTTACAAGACCTTTCCGAATGTACTACGGTTTTTGACCTCTTGACTTGGACCTTGAAATTAAACCTACAATACTTTGCGAAGTTATAACATTGGTAATAACTTCTGAGTGAGAGAAGAAAGGACTTTCATATTTTACATGTACATTACATGTACCTGTGACAACACCTTTCGGAAAGAACTATCATTTTTGACTTCATGACCTTGACCTAGAAATTTGACCTACTTATCTCAAATTTTAACTTTGGGAGTAACCTTAGGTCAAGAAGAGACAGGTTTTCATATTTATTTTTCTTATGTGCATTAGCTGTGACAAGACCTTTCAGACTGTATTATGATAATAAACCTCATTGGCCTTGATCTCCAAGTTTGATGTATTTTTAAGAGAAACTTTAATTTTGACTGTAACTTTAATTAATTCAAAAATCTAAATCTTTTTTGTATGATGGACAGACAATTAAGACAGGACACACAGACAAGACAGTTACAATACGCCATAAATTAACTGCATCTCAACCACTAAGACACCGAAAGCGGGGGACCACAATTCTTTGAATTTTGCTTTTTTAATTATCTTTTTTTTTTTTTTTTTTTTTTTTTTTATTATTATTTATTTATTTACTTTTTTTTCACTTCCAGAAAATTGTATCATATAAAGGTGTACATACTGGGTACCTGCCATATTTCTCCTGGAAAAAGTATCAAGACTATGAAATTCTAGTATAAGTACAAAAATCATTATTTACTTACATTGGGGAAAAACATACAAATAATGTACTATTTAATTATCTAATCAAGGTCAAATATCATTTTAGTAATACTTTAATCTATTTTTATGTTTCCCATTTTATTTTTAGAAAAACTTTTATGCTTAAATATATCATTGTATGCCGACTGATATTGATTTGACAAATGCATTTTACTTTTTTAGTTGTGTACACATGAGGTAAAAATATGGAACCTGACCGATTTATGTTTGTGTTTGTCTAGTTTCTGTAGTATTTATTTGTTCATTTTGTTTTACTTGTATATTAAGAAGTGAACTAATTCCATTTAAAATTAATACTTAAAAAATTCTTTGTTTTTAAGAAATATTACATGTAGGTACACAAAGGTTTGAATATTATGTTTGAATTATTTTAAAAGGCATAAATTAGGCAAACAGTCCGTTAAAAAAAAGCAAACAAAAAAAAAACAAAAAAAAAACAAAAAACAAAAAAACAAAAAACAAAACAAAACAAAACAAAATTTAAAAAAAACGAGTTTTATCTCTCGGTCTTTACCTGTCGACAAAAACATTGATTTGCAAATTATTAGCCTAATGCTATACATAATTATTATCCTTTAGAATAATACAGTCAATCTGATTGGCTTAGAGCATATCACGTGGTGGGAAACAAACCCTAACCCTCGGGTGACAAACAAATCTATAATCTCCCCCCTCTAAAAAGTCCATAACTATATATTGTAAATTTATCTATCGATAATGCTGAAGCCAAATATTTTTGTTCAAAAGCAAAAATGTATAAAGAAAACATCAATGAATATCAGTAGTTATGCAATTGTATATAATAGAAAGTACAAAAATATACAAATCATTAGAAAGTACCAATATTGTTTATATTGTCAATATTGTTTATAACAAATTCATTCGCCTCTTTAAAAAAATCCATTGTTAGAGAACTGAATAATAAAATGGGAATTGAACATTTTTATGATCATTTAACCATTACATTTACTCATTAGTGGCTAGAAAAATACTGAAATACTCTTAAGACAGCTTGACCAAGCAAACTTATAAAAGAAATTATTTTATACCGTAAACCCAAGCGTCAACAGAGAAACAATTGTTTCTTGTTTAGAATACAAGATAGCCCACTGCCACTGTTTACAATAGGCGTTAAATGTTGTTTACTCCTGTTACATACGTTTTTCTTTGATTTTAGTTTCAAAAGAAAACCTCTGGGTCGTTTAAACCGCACATCCAAACTGTGACCTGTATCATGTGATGACCTATTAACCTCTGAAAAACTTCATATAGAAATTATAAAGCAATTAACGCGCTTGACGTCATATTCAGTATTTTACTTTGAGGACAAATCATTTTATTAACTTAATACTAGAAAATTAAAAAGAATGAATTTTATAGTATAATACTTCGTTTGGTTTGGAGCAGTCTAGGCAAATCACTTTGCGGTTTGCAAATTGTAAACTGTCATAGCTTAGGCTAATTTGTGTAACTTAAATTCATTACGTATTTCAAAATTCTACCCAAGACAGATAGGTTTCATAGCTTATGCGAGTTAGTTACCCTCTTTTTTAAGCTTTCGTTTCTTAATCATTTTGTCAAAACACCAAACCCATTCCGAATTTATTTTCACAATTTTCATGTAATTTGGCGGATTTACAAATACAATATGGTACATGTATAACCTAAGATGTTATTTGACTCGTCTATTATAATTTATTTTTGTTCTCTTTTGTTATTGGGTGATAATTTGCATTATTAGGGTCAAAGTATTTGTGAAAATAATTTCCGCAGAAATCAGTATGCTATTATCATTATCATGAACATTTTTATGTCCATTTATTCAAAATGTATGCAACATTTTCGGAATGTCGAGAAGAAATGCAAGGGAGAGGAGAAGAGTTCGAGTTATCAACGACATGTTGAAAATCCTTCGAGATAAATTACCTGAAGAGTGGACAACTAGAAAGATGAGTAAACTCGAAATTTTAAGGAAGTCAACTCTTTATATCAGTCGCCTAGTTGAGCTAGCAGAGGAGAATCCTTTTGTAAAGGAGATTCGTCAAAAATATGAAATGAAAAAGTCCGTGTCAGAAAAACTGAGACCTGCGTCCGGAAAACAACGAAGAGAACCGAATGGGAAAGACAACAATCAAAGGGAGGGAAGCTTTATTTCAAGTCGGATACGAAAAGAAGGCAGTGTTTCATCTGATGATATGAATGAACCTGTCGTGGATACACAGTCCTCGGGGTTTGGAGAAAATTTTCACGGAAATTCATTCGATGAATTTAATACATCCGAAGAACTGATGCATGTTGATACCTTTGTCAGAACTTGATTTTTATACTGGAAAATTTACTAATTGTTTTCATATTTTTTCATGCTTTGTGAGGCAGTATAAATATATTTTGTATTCATTGCGTGATAAAGGCATGCGTCTGAATGATGGAGACTAAAGTCGAGAAGATTTACAGAAATCTTCTAATCGGATGAAAATCGAACAAAAACGATACCATTCTAAACTTTATCATTACCTCAAGTGACTGTTGGCTGCATAAAATGTAAATTAGAATAAGACACATGTATCACCTATCATCAAAAATATATTTGACTTAAATAATGTAAAACACAAACTTGTGTAACATACGTTTTTATGCGATAAGTAAAATTTAATGTACTAAAAAAGGGACCTGTCGTTTAGTTGATAGCAAATGATAAGCAACTTTGTACATTACATATGAAAAACATATATATTTTTAAAGATATACTTCAAGGAAGTAAATATATTGTGTATCTCGTAATTTATAAAGGGAAAGAACATTCTGATGTATAATCTTTTTAATGTAGAGTTAACCTGTATTTGTGAATTACTTCTCCACTTCAATTCCAAGGCCATACACCAAAACTTAAACTTCATGTATCGTCAATTCTAGTTATATCGCGGGTTCCACTGTATCGCGATATATTCCAAAAAAGGATATATATGCTGAGATTAGCTCATATCCTTTTTGTTGATGAACTATCTGTCTGTCGTCTAGATGTTGAATTTTGTGATGATTAAAAAGCATGGAACATCCGTTTGAATTTTTTTTAATTTAAATAAAACGTAATTTTACAGATTTCATTCCCGTTTTTATTTTATTTAGACCATTTAATTTATATCCTAGAAAAAAAAACCCATAGAAACGTTCATATTGTGAAAGTCTTAAGTTTCTTTTATTGTTTAGTTTTCATGTAGATTTAAAATAAAAAGTGTTACTCGTGACAGCGCCAAGCTTCCATATTTTTCAGTACCGCGATAATATGAGACTCTCCACTTTAGGAGGTAAATACAATGTAAGACTTCCTGTTTTAAAAAATAGACCACAAATTAAACGAAACAAGCTTGGAAAATAATTAGCCACGAAAAAGGTAAGCCATTGTTAGGTTTATGAATAGCATTTGATGAAAAGTTAAAGTAAGAATTTGGAATAACCTTTTTTAAGCAAAAAAAAAAAAATAAATAAATAAATAAAAAAAATAATAATAATAAAAAAAGTACCGCAATATAATGAGATAACAGTATATAGAGCAGCCCAGTCCTTCGGGCTGCAATAAATTATCTGAATTTTGATGTCACCATTCACTGAATTTGTTTTATAAATGAAAATAATGTCGGAATTTAGACTTTGATAAATTAAAGGTCGAATAAATTCTTTGCTACCTTTATTTCATTTTTTATGACGAAAACTTTTAATTTTCCTTCGTTGATTTAAAATTTTACATTATTAAACCGAAAACATCAACATTCTTTTATATCGATAACCATAGATGACTGTTATTCCTATTAATTTGGACTATTGTATTGACATAGGAAATACATGTAGTTATCAGAATTACATGTACATTTGCAGGTAAAACGATTCGTGTAAAAAAATTAAATTTCTTCCGTAAACGATCGAAGTCCTGATTTACATATCCTTCATAATTAGCTGTCTAAAACGTAGACATACTATACTTTATATCAAACGACATCAGAATTTACAAAGCCTGATTGATAATGGGAACATGTACCTGAATAAGAGTTTTTTTCTTTCTTTCTTTTTTCCCCCGATTTTTAGTAGCGATGAGCAACACCACATTATGCAGGAAAGATAACTTCTCTTTTTCATATATGGACAAAAAGCCTTGTCGTGAGTTGAAGTTACCTCTCTTGCTTCACTTAATCCCCGCATGAGCAGGTGCGTGAATTCAACCGATCAAGGTTCGATTACAAGGGCTACACCAACATCGCTCTTTTTTATTTTGAATAAGAATAGAAAAGAAAAGGTAATTTAATGGACATGATTGTTGTGTACTTTATCTTATTCAATTATGTTTTGGGTAAATATTATAAACAAACTTTTTTGATGTGTAACAGGAGAGGAGAAATGCGACGGACCAGACCGGGATTCGAACCCGGACCTCTGAATTTCTGCGGAGAGGTTCTCTACCAACTGTGCTATCTGACCACCGGCGATCGAACCCGTCTGAACGCCACAAATGATTCCCACTGGATAACTTTTAATTTCATGACTATTCGTTTTATGACTAAGATTTAAGAGTAATAAAAGAGTTTAGGTAAATATTTTTTTCAAATTCATGCAAAAAAAAGTTAAACGATTGTAAAATCAACATCTCTAAGTAGAAAGTACCTTTAAAAAATCGGGTCATGTGTCAATGTCCAATTAATTACGTAACACCATATCATCACTGCTTGGATCTCTAGCTCAGTGACTTAGCCCGTTGTTGAGCATATAAAAAATATTTCATTTATTGTAGCTAGAAAATAGATCAAAGTTAAACGAGGAATGCAAAGACATCACGTTAAATATAATGCATATAAAGCATTTATAATTCAGGTTCTAAATTTACATTCAAACAAACTGTTAATTCTTTCAAACATGCTCTAGACCCATTATAGTTTTTAAAATTCATTTTCTTTATAAATGATATCTAAACTTGTAACAAAAGTATATGAATAGACAATGATTTTAATTAAGTTAATGGAAATCAAACATAAAATGTCTTATCCGTTCAAATAAATTATTCAAATGTATTCAAATGTACCAGAAGAATTGGTCTTTCTTTTTTTAAAAAAAAGAACAATTTGTCATTTGTGAGATAATACGGGGCTAGATCACTAGGATATTGCATATTAATATTTATTCTTGCTATGGTTATCAAAGATTCAGAAATCATAACGCTGATTTCCCTGTAGTGCTGTCGGATAGTTTAATGGTTAAGAAATGATTTGTTGGAACGTTCTTCACTTTTCTATACAAAATGCATTTTTCATCCACATTCCAGAAATAAAAAATTAATTGGAAAACCTTTCCTTTTGTATGTGCAACATCTTTCTTTCATATTTTCCCCTTTATGCATTTTTTTGTAATATTGGATGGGATCATATAAAACTATAGAGCATGATTAAAGAAAAAAAAAGTTATCTATTTGTCATAAATTCTCAAATAAAATCAAAATTTACAAATTATTCCCTATTGTGTCATAGTCATCAATTCCATAAATCAAAGGTTTGTCGTATTTTCAGCCGTCATCAATAATCTTAGAAATGCAAATGTTCAATAGAAATAAAACATTAATGACACTCTAATTACACAAATAGAAAATTGAAAAAAATCAGAATTGAGTAACAGTACGGAGTTTTTGCAATAAAGAGAAAACAAAAAATTCCATACCCAGTGATGGATTGAGCGCATACCTTTCTTCAGTGATCAGAAAATAAAAGCTCGTCTGATGAAGATTTCCCTATAGAGTAATCGTTAGTGATTCAATAACATTAATTATTTCATATTTTCTCTATCATCTCATCATCGGAAGCGCCGAGTTGTCGTGCAGATCACAAAAATGATGTTTAACGCGGTACGACTCTGTAAGCATATATTTGCTTTTCTCATCCTTAAATCGTCTATACATTATAAACAAAAAAAGAGAATTATTTTCATTTTTGACTTTTACAAATAGGAATGTTAATTTATTATTACGGCTTTGGATAAATCACTATATAGTTATTAGTAGTTCACTCGGTGCATAATGAAGCAATTTTGATTCCTAAAAATTAAGCAGTCATACATGAATAGTCATTTACATGTATTAAATTTAAAGTATGTCTGTCACATTGCTTAAAATACATTATTATCAAACTCCGCACTTGGATTTTCCAGGAAATAATCTGTTGATTTCAAGTTTGTTTGTTTTTTTTTTTTTTTGTGTTTTTTTTGTTATTTTATTAAGATTTTTTTTTCGTGTTATTATATTAAGACTCTTTACGTGTTATTTTTTTCCAATTCTCCTCAAATATCCATGATTTTGTGTGGTCCTGATACCAAACAGATAAACATTTTCCTGTCAAAAACAACAAATATATATATCAACCAAAATAGCCTATTATATATCATTTGCAGGAGAATATCCCTCCCGAAATATTCACCTAGGTATGGAAAACATGCATGTATTTTTTAGCTGGATGGCTCAATTCTTTTTCACAAAGGATGATTTTCGAATTATCACCCTCGAGAGCAATAAAAAGATCAGTACACAATTTTATCATCTCATCTGTAAGGGACGGTAACTCACACTCCCCGACAGCGCAAGACCGGAACAATGATCGTGTGAAATGTTAATTTGGACATGACATCATCTTTGAGACCATTTGTAAAAGACATCAAAAGATCACACATCGAGGACTGCCCATTGACCGCTGAAGTCTAGATGATAGATAGGGTATTTGACCACTGAGTTTTGACGCCTCTCCAATGACCAGGTGATAATGTTCTTACACCTAAATGATGTTAGCATTATATTCGGAAGCTAACACCAAATGGCCCGCGACCGATTACTTTTCGTCTCAGAAAAAGTGATAATAGTTTTAATATCTTTATCTATCTTTTGGTGTTAGTGATCGTTCAGTGGTCATTAGCAATACATATCCTAAATATCGTCACATTAGAAACTCAAAAAAAGCCACCCATTGTGAATTTTTGATTACAAGAGACACCCCTTTGACCTTCCTATTTTACAGTGTATATAAATTACAAAATGGTTAGGCATGAACTTTCTCATTCAAAGCATTTTTTCAACGTTTTATTCTTGCTGACTGTTGTTTTTCCAAACGGGGCACACCACAAGAAATCTTTGATCAATCATGCATTAAACTCTAATTTGTCTGATAATTGTTCATTTCCCTAAAAGCACCTCGTCTCATGAAAATATCATTTTATGCAAAAAGACCTTTGAAAGTATTTTTTTTTTAAATAAACTTTCTTTTTTCCGGGGGGGGGGGAATGAATTGCTCACAAC